GGGGGGAGAAAGGGGGAACCGATCACAATAATCTACATATAACCCCCTCACTAGGGGACAAACAACAGAAAAGTGGGTGAAGGGAGACATTGGTCAGTGTAAGACATGGGGAAAACATTTTATAAATTATCAAGGGTTCAAGAGGGAGGGAGGAGAAAAAAATGAAAAGCCGATACCAAGGGCTCAAGTAGAAGCAAAATGTTTTGAAAATGATGATGGCAAACATGATGATGGTAAAAATGTGCTTGACATCATGGATGGATGTATGGATTGTGATGAGAACTGTTTGAGCCCCCAGTAAAATGATTTTTTTTTAATTCACTAGCATCAAGTCAATTCCAACTCATAGTGACTCTAGAGGACCAAGTGGCTTTCCAAGACTGTAAATCTTTAATCTTTCTAAGATTATAAAAAATAAAGCCTCATCTTTCTCCTGCAGAGTGTCTGGTGGTTTTAAGCCACTGATCTTGCAGTTAGCAGCCCAATTCATAAGCCACAATGCCACCAGGACTCTGCCTATCACTCCTGTCATGGGAATGAGTTTGGGTCCACAGTGTGAGTAAGGAGTAGTACATCCTTTTTGTATCTATATTGTTGCTCATGGTGACTCTGTAGGACAGGGTAGAGCTGCTTCTGTGAATTTCCAAGACTAACTTTTTCACAAGAGTAGAAAGCCCCATCTTTCTCCTATGGAGCAGCTGGTGGTTTCAAACTCCTGACCTTGCAGTTAGAAGCCCAACACATAACCACAACACCATGAGAGCTCCTGTACAGCTGTACTAAACTCTATGGCAGTGAGTTTGGGGTTTATGATTTCTGTGGGATCCCTAGTGGCACTGTGGTCTAGGCATTGGGCTGCTGACCACAGGTCAGAGGTTCAAACTCACCAGCCACTCTGTGGACTAAAGATGCCGTTTCTTGTTCCCATAAAGATTTATAGCCTCTAAGGTTATTCTGAGTGGAATCAGCTCCACGGCAGTGGATTTATGTTGTACTTGGTAGTTGCCATCAGGTTGACTCTGACTCATGGTGACCGTGTGTGTAGAGCTGCCCCATCCAGAATTCATGACGGTGACCTTTCTGCCGCAAATTGCCAAGCCTGTCTCGTGATGAGCCACCAAACTCTCTGATAGGAGTCTAATCCATGTGTCATGCCACCTGGGAATCCTTTAGCAATCCGTAACTGGATTTATCTATGAAACTGATACAGCGTTTTTGCATTAACAGCATAGACCGCCAAGTGATACCAGCTTTATCTAAGTCTAATCATGGCCTTCTACCAGAGTTGTATTGAAGTTTCAGGAAGGACTTGACCAAGCACCAGAGCAGTATCAATGAGGGGGTTGATACCAGAGCAGTATCAAAGACCAAGTACCAGAGCAGTATCAATGAGGGGGTTGATACCAGAGCAGTA